CACCTGGGCACCTGGTATCCTCTACTGCATGCAGTAGGTGCTCAATGTATCATCCCTGCAAAAAGAAGAGGGGAATACAGTGGTGCTAAGGAAAGAGACAGGCACAAGGGGGTGGCAGTGGCTGCCTTCAATGCAAGTCATATAATCACATGGTTCCCTTACTGGAAGCTTCCAGGACCCCTCTGCATGAAATCAGATTCCCTCTTGGCCTCTACTTTTACTTCCCATACGCCTCCTTGCTCCACCCTTCTTCATGACATAGGCTAGGTAAGGTAGTAGCAAATACTCATTGTCTTGTTTGGTTTTGTTGTCTATCTCTTCCTTCTAGAATGTAAAGTTCCTGACAGCGGGGCCAGTGCTGTGGTTGCTCACTGCTAATACACAGGACGCTGAACAAATGAAGGAACATATAATAGAGATGACAAGCCTGCATGCTTGTGCATGCTAACTGCAGCCTAACATCCATGACACCACAATGAACAGCGTGGGCTGGAAATCCTGCCTCTCCCTATCCCAAGTGTGTCCTTGGGAAGTGACTTAACATTTTTCTGTCTCGTTTTCCATGTCGCTGTCATGGTTCAATAACAATAACCACATTATGAGGCTTTCATAGGGCTTGAGTGAGTGAATACCTGTAAATGGCCTAGAATGGAGGTTGGCGTTAAATAAGACCCCCATCAACGTGAGCAGATTGCATGCCCGTGCGTGTGTATGATCGTGGATTGCCCCACGTGAGAATAATTGCTTTGTATTTGTATTAACACACAGACACACACCCATTTTGATGTTTTAATCATGTGAGTGAAAATTGAGGAAGGATAAAAGTAGGGGAGAAGAAATAAGGAACAAAATAAAGAAAATATGGAGATAAATGGCCAGAGGGAGATTTGGAGCAAAATAAAAGAACAGTGTCTTTAGGCTTCCTATGACAGAAAGGGAACTTTAATCTCTAAGGTGTTTGGGGCCGGGCGAGGTGGCTCACGCCTGTAATCCTAGCCCTCCGGGAGGCCGAGATGGGAGGATCGCTTGAGCTCAGGAGTTCGAGATCAGCCTGAGCCAAGAGCAAGACTCCATCTTTACAAAAACTAGAAAAATTAGCTAGGGGGCGGGGGGAATTCCTAAAGTCCTAGCTACTAGAGAGGCAGAGGCAGTAGGATCATTTGAGCCTAGGAGGTTGCAGTGAGCTACAAGGACACTACTGCACTCGAGACGGGGCAACACAGCAAGACTCCATCCAATGAATGCATGCAGGTGGAAGGTAGAAGGAAGGGATGGGTGAAACAACACCTAACAGGTACAGTGTACATTATCTGGGTGATAGGTACACTTATAACTTTGTCTCAAACAGTACAAAAGCAATACATGGTACCAAAACGTGTATACCCCTATAAATATTTTGAAATGAAAAAGAAAAGAAACAAAAAATAATAAGGTGTTTGGGATTTTCCAGAGTTGAGGTTCACCACACAAGAAAAAAAGTTAACTATTCCGAATTAATATATGGATTTGAAATGACGCCTTTAAGCTAATTTCTTTTGTGCATATTATTTGGAAATGGATCCAGTTTTAAAGGCCCACAGTTTGCCTCAAGCTGGGTGACCAAAAATCAAACAAAGAGAAAGAAAAAGGAGGAGGAAAAAAATTTGCTTGATGGTAATACTTTCACCCTTAATTAAAATAAAGAAACATCACTCTTTCTTTAACCAGAACATTCAATCATTTGCAGTACAGGCAACAAAAATAAAGTGTATTTTACCATTTTTAAAAAAGTCTCTGTACTTGTAGAAAAACCAAACCAAAGTTACCATTGGAGAGAAATATTCCAGGTCTTAAAAATATTTATCGTGCTGACACTCAATTAGCAAGGGGGCTCATGTCCTCTGTTTTAGAGTTGTCGGCTAATTTTGGAAACTGGCAAACTGCACAGAAATAGATGGTGTACTCTTGCTTCAACACTTCCTAAAAAAAGAACTGTTTGCATAGTTCAGGAATGGGGAAGGACAGGAGATGACTGGGAAAGCGTTATTTCAGACAGCTGATAAAAGCTGGCCTTGGTCTGTACCCTGAAGAATGTTTTACACATTTAAAATTAAAGGGTTTGTTTTTGTTTTTTAAAGGAATGACAGATAATCCGCTGAAACTGTGTGATATGCAAGGGACACTTGAATGCTATCTCTTCTGGAGTTTTTCCTTTGACACAGTTGAATTTATAGCACAAGTTCAAATGAGTAGAGAGCTTTCCTGGTTGTACATGTTTGATGATCACATCAGCAACCTTAGATTACAGGGCAGCATTATTATTCTTATAATCTGGGGCATAGAGATTCTCAGGAGGTCAAAGGAATCACCCATCAGACACAAATACCTTCCATCATCTCAGTCTACTCCTTAGTCCCTGAGACAGTTCTTTTACTCGAATCACATCACTTCATTTTGTCATTTTTTTGTGATTGTTTTCATTCGTTTTTTGTTGTTGTTGTTGTTGTTAGCGTGTTCTGCTCTCTTCTTTCAATCACATTATCTTGGTTATGATAATCTTGGGAATCAGTGCAGTTAAACTCAGAATAGTGCTATAGCTACATCAGGCACTTTTAAAAATCAATTCAAGAGAGTGGAATTACCTGCAAGTAGAAAACGTTTCATGGTCCTATGGCACTCGTATTTATTGAGTGTCTGCTGTATGCCAGCCACCAAGTATTCAAAATTTTGAATAAGATGTCATCTTTGGGGTAGAGGAGCTTTCAAGAGTGGAAACATAAGAAGTATCCATCACTTTGTACCTTCTATAATATCCTTTACTGGAGTGTAAACACTTGGCAAGGAAGATCAAGATCTAAATTCACGTTGGTGCCTCTCAGAGTACCCAGTGTGGCCTGTGCTTTGAGCATTAAGTGCTCAGTGGCTGTGTTGGATGAATAAATATTAGTGGATGAAGATGACTTATGCACAGGAAGCAATGCTAATAATGGACATTGCGAGCTATAAAAATTCAATGAAAAATGCATGGTCTCTATGCCACCTGCTTGAAGTCCCTACAGTTGTGTTAGGGAGGGATGATATCTAAAAAAAAGCATAGCATATTCTGCCAACTTTATTTTCCTCAAGGGTTTCTTTATAAATGGTATAAATTTGTGAGAATTTGAATAATTCAGATAATTTTTTTCTAGCCATAGAAAATAGGTAAAAAAAAAAAATGAACAAATCATGCTTTTGAAAGCTCTAGTGTTTGCTGATTTGCAGATCTCAAAACTGGCAATTGGTTGGTGAGTCCTAGCTACCAAGCAATACTTGCTGCTGTCAAATACAGTGGTTCTTTCTTTGTTTTTGTTTTGGCTTTTTAAATCTTGGAGCTACATGCTCCAACACCGTCTTCAGGTTTTTAGTAATTATTGACATCAAGTAATATCTGTAATTCTAACATAAACTTCTGAGTTTATAGCCATCTAATGCATAATGATAATAAAATAAACATGTAAAGGTACTTCTGTTAGGATAAACATTACAAAGGAAGACTAAAAAGAGGGGTGCTAGCCCGGGCAACAGAGTGAAACTCTGTCTCAGAATAAATAAATAAATAAAAATAAAAAGAGGGGTGCTTCTGAGCTGGGGTACCCACCATTCTCGATTCTGTTGGGAAAGAGAAACTTCTTAGGCAGCCACTCGGTTCTTCAAAAAAGATGAATGTGTGTGATGCATTCAGCCGTGTAGCGGAAAGTGCCTTCAACTGTGGTTTTGCACGAAGGATGGAAACTTTCTCCCTAAAGCCATTACTATGGTAATAAAATCTGAAGGTTTAATATCATATAATTACTTAGGAAAGAGCATTTCTATGGGTGCTAAACTTATAATCATTATTTTTTTTAAGGAAGTATAGCTCTGTGGGAAGTACCACTTCCCCAAGGTACCCAGGCATGATCACAGACAGTAACTAGGAGGAGAAAGTTCTAGAAGCTGGGGAAGCTCAGGGAACGTTCAAAGAGGAGGTAGTCCTTTATATGAATTGACAAAATGGGGACAGAAAATGTTAAAGCTGAGACTCCTAACCAGGATTGACACATTAGCTTTAGGAAGCCCCTGAACCATCTACGTTTGTCTACCATGTTGTGTGTGCACGTGCATATTGTTATTTTTTCTGCATGAGGTGTTTATGTCTTTCATGAGATTCTTAACAGGGTTATTTGACCCTAAGAAGATTATGTGCCACTGCTCCTAAGAATTATACCTTTAATCCCTCAGTCTAAAGTTGAACCCTTCTCTGCTTTTAAAATACCTTTGTATAAATCTCCTCCTCATACTCAATTGCTCCCCTTTCTTTCCAAGAATACATCTCTCATAGACAAAATATGGCAGTGCAGAAAAAGTTAGTTTTGAAATTTGTCTCTGGTCAATTGCCATTAATATGCTATAGAGTCATTCATTAATGGTTTTTCATTAGTAACGTTTGAATTATCATAGCATCTGCCTGCCACAGTCCCAAATGGTGGGACATTGTAAGAAAAAAATGAAAAACAGCAACTTACCAGTGAAAGAATTACATTTTGTGCTGTTTATGGGTCCTTTGTAAACCTCAGGTTACAGCGAGTAACATGAGGAAACATCCCCAAAGGAATTTGTTCCTAAATGATTCTTGGAAAGAGATTGTAGGTATTTTGTTTAACTGGAAAAATGTATAAACGGTGGTTTGGGAATTTTTTTCTTCTGTTTCTCTGTATCTTGTATATTTTTAAATTTTAATGTTTTGAACTCAGTTACGTTCGTTCTACCACTAGAAAGCAAAGCCAGATATTTTGCATGTGTGTAAAATTTCCTTTGAAAGTAACCATTGAAAGGTTTAATGGGAATTAATCAGAAATGTGATTAGTCAATTTTAAATTTCTAAACACCTGCATATACAGTGTCTTCTTCACACATGATACTGTAATACCTATTATGCAATTAAACAAATTTTTATAATTTACCTAAATAAGCTTAATCATACTTATCTTCTTTTTCTCCTACAGAGAGACTGCTACCGAGTTAGCTGGAAGTCTACCAAGGTGAGCAAGCCGGCTTTGCTTACTCTGTAATGGTTTCTGAAACGTTCAGAAAGTATAGCACTGTGTTCTCTATAACAAGTCTTCTCTTCCTCATGTCAGATTTTAAGACCTCGAGTATATCATTATGCAAATGACAAAAACGATGCACGAGTTACATATATGTGATGTCCCCAACAAGTAATGAGGCTCATGTTCATACGTGACTCAGAGAAATAATTCTCATTCCTTTGGAGTTATACACTATATTTGGAGATGTATATATGAGCAATATTTGCCACAGAAATCAACGATGTTGTTTCCTTTATTATATTCATAGGAATTGGCAATTGAAAAACATAATGAATTGGGTTATTTCTTTAAGGTATTCATTATTATTGTTATGTTCAGGAATTTTTAGATTTATAAAAGAATCCTGAGCTTCCCCTGAAGAACTTACATCTTAGTTTTGGTGATATAAATGCATCTTAATTCTTATTGTCATTTAAATAAATATGTGGTAATATTATACCAGGAAAAGAAATCGATATGTAATTGATCGATGTATTTTATATGTTTTCGATATTTTATGTCTATGCATATAAAGTAAGGTATGATTAACAGAAGGTAAGATCTAGATAACTAGCCATCAAGAAACGGCCGGGCACGGTGGCTCACACCTGTAATCTTAGCACTCTAGGAGGCCAGGGTGGGGGGGTAGATTGAGGTCAGGAGTTCGAGACCAGCCTGTGCGAGAGCAGGACCCCCGTCTCTACTAAAAATAGAAAAAATTAGCCAGGCGTGGTGGTGCACACCTGTAGTCCCAGCTACTGGGGAGGCTGAGTCAGGAGGATCGTTTGAGCCCAAGAGTTTGAGGTTGCTGTGAGCTAGGCTGATGCCACGGCACTCTAGCCCAGGCAACAGAGTGAAACTCTGTCTCAAAAAAAAAAAAAGAGAGTGAATGATTATCACTATTTAATGGAAGGAAAGGAGGGAGGGAGGGAGGAGTGACATTTTAAGAGGTACCAAACTGGGCATTGCGTATCTAGAATGTACCCTTAAGATACCTATGAGCATGCCTTAGTCTCTCAGGGTGCTCAGTAACCATTTGTGAATCAATCAGGAGGTCACAGGGTGTTGCCTGGAAACTGTTGGAAATCAAGAGAATAGGAAGGACAGGAAAGAGAAGAGTGAGGGAATGTGATCTCCATGACTGGCACCAGAGAATAGGGGCGAGTGCAAATCATGGCCATCTGTTCTAGACGATAAGCAATTCGGTTGCTTTTTTTTTTATGTAAAGAAAATCTTTGCTTATAGGATCATGATTCATTTCGCCAAAAAAACTGTTTACTGTGATCCAAATATTTAAATTACTGTAAGTCCTCACTTTTTTGGCCAACGTCCTAAAGAAACATTTCAGTCGTGCGCCCGTTTACGGAGTTAAACCCACACGTGTGTGTTCTGGTGTCCCTGTATCCCCTGGCTGAGTTTCTTTGTCCTTGTCCTTCCACTCGAGAATAAGTCCCCTCGGTGAAGACCTGAGGATGCCATCATTTGCAGGGGAGAAGTGAGGGTTGTGTGTCTGCCCGTGTTTGTGGTGAAGAAGTTAGTCCTAAAATTATGGAATGAGAAATGACTTTAAAACTTTTATACAACAGCCAAGGGGCAGAGCACCTCTGTTTGGTGGGAAGAGACTCACACCATGCTGTAATCGTGCAGATGAAAATGACTTAGATGTCTGGGAAAATCAGAAGCAGCACCCTGCATTCTATTAAGTGCTGCTGTATTGCAAATACTAAGCAGCAACTCACAAGTTCCCCAGGAGAAGGATCCGCTGTGGCTGGTTTAGCACCTGAGGGAAACCCTGCTCCCTTCTTGAGTTTGGTGGGTGGTATTTTGGTAATGAGCCTCCTTATTTTTTTCCCCCATGAATTTTAGTTACTCTAATGTTGAATCATGTTGCAAACAAACAACGCACCGACCGTCCCGTTCTAACTGCAGTTGGATGTCGTTGTAATGTATAACAAAAAGGACGTGAGTTATTTCTCAATTATGCTTCCAATGTAGTAGCCTCAGGTGTTCGTTGGACTTTCTTGGGGACCATTTGGGATGTTTCTGCTGACAAGTATTTCCCTTCCTCACATTAACATAAAATAATGCGATTATCCAATGATGACTTCTTCCCTGGGTGTCTGGAATATTCCTTCTGCAAGTGTGTGCGTGTGTTTGCACAACCTTGTAGAATTCCATTGCTTGTTTACGTTTTCAGCCTTTTTTTTATTATTATTATTTCTTCAGCCTGTCATCAGGAAAAAGTGCAAATGAGCCCTGAAATACCTCGGTGCTATTGAGAACAAGGCACCTGTGGTTATTTTGTTTGTTTGTCGGCTAATGATTAGTGGAACATGACACTTTGAGTTTTTTATCCTTTTAGTCATAAAAGCGGAAAAAAAATGGAAAATGGCAATGCAGGCAACTGCTAACTGGTAATATGTGGCTGAGAAGGAAGACGGTGGCATTTTTAGAAGAGTTGTATGGTGTGGTTTTCATTGGCTTTCACTGTCTGGAAATTTTCCCAAAGGCCATTTACGACAGTTGGGTGAGGGTAGAGTATTTCCACTTTCATTGCCTTACGTGGCATTTCTTTAAAGTAGCTGGCCACTGGTTGGTAGTATTCTGTGAAAATGTGCCAATCACATAGCAGCGGATTGGGTGTGGGTAGTTAAAACTGTTCTCAAAGTTGAAATGAGATATGCACACAAGGTATGTGAACAGGCGCCAGGTTTGTTTTTCATTACTAATGATAACCTAAATGTGTGTTTGAATTCTTGCCATGGCTGAAAATAAAGCTTGGTAATAATATGTCACCAGAAAAAAAAAAATTGGAGTATATGAGCAACATGCACTAAGCATTATAATTATATTATGAATATTAAAGCCAATGATCTTGTCGGGATTAAAACAAATATTTAAACTGGCTACATGGACCACTCCTGCTGATCTCTTTATCTTGATATGTCTTGGAGAAGGGTGTGTACGGTTCCATGTCTTGAACTACGAAAAATGATCATTTTCGATCTTACGCAGGACTTCTTGCTTTTATTTTTGCTGGCAGCCCAGGACAATTTAGCAATCTGAACTTTTTTTTTCCCCCATTACAGTAATGTTTTTCAATATCTGATTTTTATAGGGAAGGGTGTTGTGTTTAGGTAAGACGTGTTTTAATTAAGTCATGATGAAACCCCAATTATTCAGATGGAACGGAGGCATGAAATGAATTGTAATAAGCTGGAGTGTTAATATAAATGGTGCCTACAAAGAGATAAAATTTTATTTTGGGTAGCAGAGCAAAGATATAAACAAGGTTTATATGAACAGAGGTTTTATTGTAATCATGCACTATTAGCTGCTGTTTTTGAAAAAGGGAGCGCATTTTAATTCCTTGTTAACATAGTCCTGTGTTACTCAACATAAATTAAACAGTTTGGAAAATACAGGGATATAATAGGACTTAGTAGAAGTATCTTAAGTATTATTGCAGAGATGCACATGCTGGTTCTTATATACAACATCCAGAAGTTGGTACCCTCCTTGAGAACCATGAAATATGGGTAAATGAAGCTTAAAGTAATTAAACATATAAATCAGATGTCATCTTCTACTAGATCTTTAGCATAAACCACTGGAAGCAGGGGCCAAAGGTTAAAGTTATGAAAGAAAAACTGAGACTTCTGTCTTGCATTTTAATCCAATAAGTTGATCTTTTTTTTTTCAAGTAAGTAATAGAACTCCCAAATCCTAGACCTGCATTGTATATACCATAGGATTATTGAGAGCATCTACCAAGAACACACAACTGCTTGGTTTGTGTGACTATCAAAAATAAGTCACTCGATTGCAGTTTTACATATGGAATTTTGGTATTAAATTGGGGTCTGTCCTTTCTGAAATTGGAACTGAACAAGTTTCATTTAGTGGAAGGGTGTAGTTGTCTGTATTTCTGAGTCGTGAATGTGACCAGTCAGGCAGCAAAAGATGGAAAAGGTGAGACAGAGAATAAAGTTGAGCTCTGGCAGCTCAACTTCCTACCTGTGGCTCTAGAAGGGTTTAGAGTTAGACCTTCCAGTCCCTGCGGAGGGCTTTGGTAGATTACAGTTCCTCCTATTTCTCCTTGTCCTCAGTGTAAAATGCCATCTTCAGAAAGGCTTTTAGAAATTGGAAGATAGGCCAGTCGGGGTGACTTACGCCTGTAATCCTAGCACTCTGGGAGGCTGAGGTGGGAGGATTGCTTGAGCTCAGGAGTTCGAGATCAACCTGAGCAAGAGTGAGACCCTGTCTCTACTAAAACCAGAAAAAGTAGCCGGGCATGGTGGCACATGCCTGTAGTCCCAGCTACTTGGTAGACTGAGGCAGGAAGATTGCGTGAGCTCAGGAATTTGAGGTTGCAATGAGTTATGATGATGCCATGGCACTCTAGCCTGGGTGACAGAGCGAGAGTCTGTCTCAAAAAAAAAGAAAAAGGAAATTAGAAGATAAACATGTTGGTACTTCCAGTCCAACCTCTTACTAAGTGATCTAGAGCCTAAGGCCTTATTCTGTCTTCTTTGTAATCCCTAAGAAACAGCTACTCCCCTAGGCCTCCTGGGACCCACGTCTGGTGCTGTTCAGTATTGACAGAATTCACCCTCTGTTCACTCATTCAGCAAAGGTACATCGAGCGCTAGACATACGCCAGGTGCAGTTGCAGGCTCTGTAGGAACAGAGTACCGTCTCTTCCCTGCAGTAGTTTAGTGGAGAAAGTCTGGATAATCCCAGTGCTAGAGCGAAGTGTTTAATGCCATAGAAGCAGCAGAAAAACATCTCAGCTAATGAAAGGTGCTGCAGGATTTCAGCCCCAAGATGAGCTACTTGTGGTTGGAGGCAGCCAGGGACAGCATGCTGAGCTTGACCCTCTGAGCAGGACTGGAGTGGGTGGGTCAGGTGTGAGCACGTGGCAGTGGGTAAACCCATGGCATCCAGAGGCC